CTTTCTTTCATGGATCATGCCTTTGATGTTTCGTCTGAAAAGGTATTGCCATACACAAAATTATATAGGTTTTCTCCTATGTTATCTTCTGGGAATTTTATAGTTTTGTGTTTTACATTGAGGTCCGTGATCCATTTTGAGTTTATTTTTGTTCCAGCACCGTTTGTTGAAAAGACTATCTCTGCTCCACTATATTACTTTTGCTCCTTTGTCAAAAATCAGTCAACTATTTATGTGGGTCTATTTCTGGGTTCTCTGTTCCATTGATCTGTTTGTTTATTCTTTCAGTACCACACTGTCTTGATTACTGCAGCTTTATAGTAAGTCTGAAAGTCAGATAGCATCAGTCTTCCAACCTAGTTTTTCTTTAGTGTTGTACTGGCTACTCTGTGACTCAGATATTTTGGCCAATGAATTTATTGTGCCACCAATCCATCGGGTGATTTCTCTCTAGCCATGTCCAATGGTCCAGTGTTATGTAGTTGGATTGAGGCAGGGTTGGGATTTGCAAGGGGGGATGATGGAGAGGCAGTGGGGCAAGTGAGTTGAAGATATCTGTAAGAGAATGATTGAAGTGAGGGATGCTGTAATCCAAGATAGGGAAGAAGGGTGAAGTCAAGAGTAGGTGAATAGCTTAAAAGTAGGGTCAAGGGGTTTTGCAGACAAAGAACAGGTGTAATGAATGAGAGCTGAATGGATATACTTATGGTCAAAGAGTGATGTATGAATTTCACATTTCATAGGTGGAACAACTGTGAGTGTTGACTATAGGGGTTGGTAGCTGAAATGGGAGTGGAGGCAGTAGTCTCCAAAGATGAGAAGGTCCAAGAGCTAAGGGGCCAGGATATTGGACCTCTATGTTGTTAGTGATGTCACGTGGAATGTTGGTAGGGGTTGGGTGGAGGGGAATCTGTGAGTAGATTCTACAGTGAGCGAAGAGACAATGTTGGGGAGATGAGTAGGGAACAGTGAAGAGGAGTAGGAAGGGGTATGGCTAGATGGTCTTACACAAAGGTAGAGGAGAGATGATCTCAAAGTCTCACTGGAGAGTGAGGGGGATGTGTACCCCCTGGCCAGGCCTGAGTTATAAGGGTCTGGGAGGATATACAACCTCTACTTCACAGGGCTCTACCTACCATAGTGCTTTTTCAATTTTTTTAATTTCCAATCCATAATGGAGCAGTCCTTTTGTAAAATAAAATAGGAATTACTAGAAAAATGTCCTGAACAAAAAAAACTATGCACAGTATAAGCCCTGATTTTTTTTTAAACTATTTTTAAAGATTTTATTTATTTATTTTTTGGGGAGGGAAGGAAGGGGGAGAGGGAGAGGGAAAGGCAGAGAGAGAGAGAGAAACATCAATGTGTGGTTGCTGGGGGTTATGGCCTGCAACCCAGGAATGTACCCTAGCTGGGAATCGAGCCCTGATTTTTTATTATTAGATTCAACACACATAAAATTACTCAGCCAAATTGCCGTTAAAGTTTTTAGATGCTTACTTTCTTTCTGTACTTATTTCACCACTGCACTAGTCCATGGACCACACTTTGAGTGACACTGTTATAGAGAAAATGGTGAGAAGCTGCATTCAGTTAGACCAGGAAGGTGAAGAGAAGGGGTTTGTTGAAGGGGATGTGAAGATAGAAAGGGTTTGTTGACCAAGGAATGGGGTTGGTAGGGGTACAGCAGAAAAGTCAGGGAAGTTGATGAGTAGTAGATATTTGAGGTAGAGAAAGCACATAACTACATGGGATGAAAGTTCAAGAGAGAGATACTAGGACTTCCAGCCAAGATGGAGGCGTAGGTAGACACACTGTGCCTTCTCGCACAACCAAAACTAAGGACAACGAAAATTTAGGAAAAAAATCAACCGGAACAGAGAGAAATCAACTGTTTGGAAGTCTGACAACCATTCTTCCAGACTGGTAAGAGGGGTGGAGTCTGCGGCCTAAGAAGAGGGTTCGAGGGGTCCTGGCAGGAAGAAGCGGTGGCTGGCAGACACGGGCGCGCAGGGTACAGGTGGCAGTTGGTGGACCCCAGACTCGCAGGGGCAGCTAACAGACCCGGTGGCAGACCCTGGGTGTGGGAGGCAACGAGCAGACCCAGTGAGGTGCGCAAGGCAGCTGGCTGTCTGCAGTCACACATTTGCGCGCAAACTAGGCAAAAATGGGCAGTGACACAGACCACAAAACCCAGGGACCCAGCGCTGGGAAATAGAGCCTAAAAGCACCAACTGAAAACACCTGTGGGGGTTGAGGTGCTGGGAGAATCTCCCAACCTCACAGGAGAGCTCCTTGGGGAGACCCACAGAGTCCTAGAAAGTACACAAGCCCACCCGCCTGGGAGCCAGCACCAGAAGGGTCCAATCTGTTGTGGGAAGTGGCAGAGGGGACTGAAGTCCTAGAGAGAGCAGAGCAGGCCCCCACATACAACATCACAACCCAGCAAATGGGGTGCCCCACCCTGGTGAACACCTAAGGCTCCGCCCCTCATATGTAACAGGCACGACCAGACTAAAGGGGGGGAAAAGGTGGCTCAAACAGAATTGAAAGCCCCTGGCCAGTACTTTGAAGTGACCGAGAGATAGCCAACCTATCAGATGCACAATTCAAAGCACTGGTGATCAGGATACTCACAGAATTGGTTGATTTTGGTTGCAAATTAGATGAACAAAATGAAGGCTACAGTAAGTGAAATGAAAAATGCACATGGAACCAATAGTGATGGAAAGAAAACTGGGTTTCAAATCAATGGAATGGACCAGAAGGAAGAAAGAAACAATCAAACAGAAAACAATGAAGAAACGAGAATTCAAAAAAAATGAGGAGAGGCTTAGGAACCTCCAGGACATCTTTAATTGTTCCAACATCCGAATTATAGGGGTACCGGAAGGAGAAGAGGAAGAGCAACAAGTGGAAAAGTTATTTGAACAAATAATAAAGGAGAACTTCCCCGATCTGGCAAAGGAAATAGACTTCCAGGGAGTCCAGGAAGCTCAGGGAGTCCCATAGAGGTTGGACCCAAGGAGGAACATACCAAGGCACATCATAATTACATTAGCCAAGGTAAAAATGAAGGAGAGAATCCTAGAAGCAGCAAGAGATAAGAGGACAGTCACCTACAAAGGAGTTCCCATCAGAATGTCAGCTGATTTCTCAAAAGAGACATTGCAGGCAAGAAGGAGCTGGAAAGAAGTATTCCAAGTCATGAAAGGCGAGGACCTCCATCCAAGATTGCTCTATCCAGCTAAGCTTTCATTTAGAATGGAAGGGCAGATAAAGTACTTCTCAGATAAGGCCAAATTAAAGGAGTTCATTATCACCAAGCCCTTATTATATGAAATGTTAAAGGGACTTATCTAAGAAAAAGAAGATTAAAAATATGAACAGTAAAAAAAGACATCAAACTCACAATTATTAACAACCACACCTAAAAGAAAAACAAAAATAAACTAAGCAAAAAGCTAGAACAGGAACAGAACCACAGAAATGGAGATCACATGGAGGGTTAGCAACAGGGGAGTGCGTGGAGGAAAGGGGGAAAAAGGTACAGAGAATAAGTAGCATAGATGGTAGGTAGAAAATATACAGGGGGAGGGCAAGAATAGTATGGGAAATGTAGAAGCTAAAGAACTAATGACACATGGACATGAACTAAAGGGGGGGAATGTGGGTGGGAGGGGGTGGGCAAGGTGGAGGGAAGGGGGAAAATGGGCAACTGTAATAGCATAATCAATAAAATATATTTTAAAAAAATACTAGAGAGGTCCTACTTGAGCAGTGCCCAAGGGTAACAGAAGTATGAGAGAGAAATCATGTAGCCCAGGGAAGTGAGTTAATGCTATAAGGTCTCGGGAATATATTTAAAGAAGGCTTAGGCAGGTGAAGGATGAGCTCTAGATTGGGTGAAAAAATATTAGCTATTACTCACTGACTACTTACTGTGACCAGTCTCTGTGCTCACTGTGCTAGGCACTTTATATACATTATCCGAGTCCTGTAAAAAATAATCCTGCCAAGTCGATGGTGATATCCCCAGTTTATTGATATGCAGCAGGTTTACAGTCATTAGGAATATCAGTCAAGAAAGTGGTGGGGTCCTAATCCCAGGAAGTCAGTTTATGAACATGATTGTAGTTGAAACAGTTGGAGGTCTGCCCTATTTTCATTCTTCCTGCTACTTGTGGCTGACCAAAAGAATTGTAGGGATTTGATATTAGCCCGAGGTTATTTGGAGGACTGGTGTTGACTTCTTTGGTGATGGAGGGTTTAATTTTGTGATATTTCCACCTCATATACATGGAAACTCAAAGTTTCAAAATTAAATGTTTTTTTAGATATTACAGTGTGGAATAAGTAACATATGTTCATTGTAGAAAATTTGAAAATACAGATAAGAGAAATGATTACTTGTAATCCTTCACTTAGAACCACTGTTGACTATAAAATACTCTTTTGGCCCTTTTCACTTAATAAAGTAAAATAGCTCAATAATGTTTAAATTTTTTATTACATGTTGAATGAGAATATTTTGGATGTATTGATCAAATAAAGTATTATTAAAATTTCACCTGATTGTTTTTACATTTTTAACGTGGCTCCTACAACATTTACAATTACCTGTGTGGCTCACATTATGTTTCTTTTGGAAAGTAGCACTCTAGAGTCTCTTTCAGCTTTGACCATTCTGAGTCTTAATGAATTTTAACTGTACATTTTTTTTTAGCTCTGTTGTAATTGTTTTAGATGAACCACTGTGATCCAGTAGATCTTTTTGCATTGATGAAAATGTTTGATAATCTGCCCAATATGGTAGCCCCTAGCCACATGTGGCTGTTGAGCACTTGAATTGTAGTTAGTGTGATGGAGGAACATCTTTTAAAATTTTACTTAATTTGAATTAATTTAAATGTAAATAGTCATGTGTACTGGACAGCACAGTTCTAGACCTTAGCAAAAATAAAATTTTAATAAGCTTTGGCTGGTTTTGTCTTTTCTAGTTGTGTTGGTGTTGAAGAGGAGAAGGCTGCTGACATTGACCTCTATCACTGCCCGAACTGTGAGGTCTTACATGGGCCCTCCATTAGTAAGTAGATCTTGGGGTTTCCAAGAGAAGGTGGGCAAGGGGAGAGACAAAGCAAAGGAATCTTGGAAGGGGATTGCCTTTGTTGGACGCTTCAGATTCATCTTCCTTGGAAAATAGCAGAGGCCTGTGTAGGCCCTGCAGGACAGTAGCTGTCCCACTTGGAGGGTAGTGTGCAGAGCTGCACCTCATCCCTTGCTAGGGATTCCTCAGAGGAAGCACCTGTCCTCACCAGGACCTTTCCTGAGTCTGAGGGCCTTGTTGACTCCACGTGCTCCAAGGGGTTATTAGTGTAGAAGAGAAGTGGGATTGCTGAGGCCTTTGTTCTTAGAACCATAGCTCACAGCCATTATGACTCACCATCTCATGTCTTTTTCTGGCTTAGTGAAAAAACGTCGTGTGTCTTCAAAAGGGCATGACACACACAAGGGGAAGCCAGTGAAAACTGGAAGCCCTACATTCATTCGAGAGCTCCGCAGTAGGACCTTCGACAGGTGAGTACCCGTATCCCAAGGGCTGGTGACCTCCAGGGCTATGGGAAGATGGGACCCTCTCTTCCCAGCTCTCCCACTGGCTGTCCCATTAGGTGCTTCCTCTATTTGGGGGTGTCTACAGGGCTCTGCAAGTTCCCTCTGGAGAGGGATCTTCTGTTTTAATCAGTTTCTGAGAAACATTGCTAGCATTTCATTTGATGTACAGAGTATATTAACATTTACTTGTGGAAACTTTTGGTGGATTGGAAGGCAGTTTTGCCAAGTCAGGAGAGAATATTTACATGCACCCAAGGATTGCTACAACTAGAAGGAGTCTTAAAGATCTGAAACTTTACTTCTCTTTGTAAAGAAGAAGAGTCTCTTTTAAAAAATAAAGAAAAAAATGAGTGATCATGTCTTTCTTTTGCAATCAGGAAAAAGAGTTCTTTTTTAAAAAATTAAGATGGGCTTATTGAAAATAAATTACATCAATTGAGCAAAGATAATGAGTTAGAAAAATTAATGAATGAAGTACTCTCTTTTGCCTAGTTTTTAATTCATTTGATTATTTTCAGCTTTCCTGTAATTGAAGTGTTGTTTAGAATCATACCTGTTTCTTCATTTTCATATTTTTTGTTTTATTTGTTTTCTTAAAGGCAGTGAGTTTCTACCTCAGACTCTTCATATCTCTTCTCTAAAGTCAACCAATTTCTTGTTCATTCTTTCAGAAATAGATTTTGCTTACACAAGTGTGTGCATTTGTGTGTATTCCCCTTTTAAAATAATACAAATAGAAACACTATATTGCTCTGCATGTTGCTTTTTTAACCTATTGTTATAGATCTTGAAGATCAATTCATAGCTATACATGCACATGTTCTTCATTCTTTTTCATGGATGTTTACAATTCCATTGTATGGATATATAATTTATTTAACCAGTCCTTTATTGATGAACATGTAAATTAATTCTATCCTTTTGCTGTTAGAGAATAATACTGCAGTGAATGACTTTATTCTTAAGTTTTTGCATATATGGATAAATTTATGTGTAGATTTACTTGCCTAGAAGTGAAATTGCTCAGTCAAAGAGTATGTGCTTTCAAAATTTTTATAAATATTGCCAAATTATTTCCAAAGTGGTTCTGTCATTTTATACCCCACTAGATAATGTATGAGAATGTAATTCCCTGTATCCTGGCCAGCACTGTTTATTATAAAGCTTTTTTTTTGCCTTTCTGATAAGATTAAAAAAATGAAATGTTGTTTCCACTTGATTTCTTTAATTATGAAAGAGGCATGTATATGTTTGTTCATTTGTAAGTCATCCTTACTCCTTTCTCTGTTTCTGCCTGCTTATGGTATTTGCCTATTTTTCTGTTGGGTCGCTGCTTATTTCTTACTGATTTATTATGGCTTTCCGTGCAGACATTAAATTTCTCTTTAATTTTTATGTAGTTAAATTTAGTTTTACAATTTTTAGTGACTACTGGGCCTTGTCTCTCCCACGTTTTTCCTTACTACTCTGTGACTTTATTTTTTCCAATTTAATCTTTGATCTGTTTAGAGCTATATAAAGAGTGCAATAGACAGTGAGCAAAATATTTTTCCAGATGTTTGTCCCAAACAACTTATCAAGTAGTCCATCTTTTGTCCAGCATGATAAAAAAAGAACACTTCTTTTTTCCAGTTAATTAAGTATGTGTGTTGAGAAAGTGATTGTAAAATTGTTTTCATTTTTTCATCCGTCTTTTCTCTTTATTTGCCAGTATTTTAAAAAAAGATTTTATTTATTTATTTATTTTAGAGAGAGGATAAGGGAAGGAGAAAGAGAGAAACATCAACATGCAGGAGAAACATCAATTGGTTGCCTTCCATGCACCCCCTACTGGGGAAACCTGGCCCACAACCCAGGCATGTACCCTGACCAGGAATTGAACCGATGACCTTTCGGTTCACAGGCCAGCACTCAATCCACTGAGCCACACCAGCCAGGGCTATTTGCCAATATTTTAAATTGGATACTGCTGCTCTGAGTTATAGTAAGTCAGCTAAACTTGTCAGATATGTCTTTTTTTCCTGGGCAGGTTGTTGACTGATTTATTCCTTTGTCATCCAGAGAAGAGGACCCTATTGACAGGATATCTTAGGTTAAGCTTCCCACCTCTGCCAGTGACCTAGCTTCTTGCCTTGGATAGGTCTTTTCTTCCCTGTCACGTGAAGTTTATGCCTGCCCACCTCAGGAAGATCCCACCCCTTGGGTGAGTGGTAGCATCTAGTGAGGCCTTCAGTTGCAGGGCCTCTGGGGCTCAGTGCTTCTCTCATGTGGCCCACAGCTCAGATGAAGTGATTCTGAAGCCTACTGGAAGTCAATTGACTGTGGAATTCCTGGAAGAGAATAGCTTCAGTGTGCCCATCCTAGTCTTGAAGAAGGATGGATTGGGGATGACGCTACCCTCACCATCATTCACTGTGAGGGACGTGGAACACTATGTTGGTAAGCAACACAGACCCTCTTAACTTGTGGTATTTCTCATCAAGACCTGTGACCCTTCCCCTCAATCTACTTTTTGCATTTCTTTTCTAGCCATCTTGGGAATCTGATATGAAGTGCCTGGCTCAGTCATTCTTTGGCAAAGTTAGAAGCAAAATCCTGTTCTCTTCTTTCTTTTCTTCCTAACAGAACACAAAACCCAAGATGAGCCTCATTTTTTACTTGGGGAATTTCAGAGATTGTGGTGGTCTCTCTGTCTTCTCTTGCGATAAGAAAGCCTTTGACTTTTGTCCTCACGTGCCATTTGTCTTTTAAGCATGAATTTTGGGGGATAGAAGGAGAAAAAGTGAGGAATTAGGGTCCAGACAAATGGATTGTACTATGAGAGAGGCTGTGTGTTAGGTAGTTCTGTTGCCCTAGCAGTCCTGGACCAGCACATAAATCTAAGGAGAGTGTGAGGGATTCACACTCTCCTTAGACTCACCTCTCAAATATGCACATCAAAATACACTGTTTGATGAGAGAGGTTTTGAGTGTAAGGCCATTCTAGGGACTGGTAAGGAATGAGATACTCTTCCCTGGTCTTTGAGACCACTTGGTACAGAACCCATCTCTTTACTCCAGGTTCTGACAAAGAGATTGATGTGATTGATGTGGCCCGCCAGGCTGACTGCAAGATGAAGCTCGGTGATTTTGTGAAATATTATTATAGTGGGAAGAGGGAGAAAGTCCTCAATGTCATTAGTCTGGAGTTCTCTGATACCAGGTAGGAGGGCAGGGGTGAGTAAAAAAGCCTGACAAATACCTGCAACTTGTGATGATATACTTAGTATGTATTGGTGTTCCCTTCCTGCTGGTGGTTTCTTCCTTTGGGATGAGGAGCTGGTTTATATTTTTCTAGGGTAGATGCTCATATTGTAACAACTAAATCATATTTCTCCTTTACAGTTTCTAGCATTGGGTAGATTATATAATAGCTATGTCAATTAATTTTTATCTCCTTCAAGACTAGGATAGCTTTCTTAGACCTTCTGATATTTAGAATGTGGCACAGTCACTTGTTTAACTCCCAGGATAGGTCCTCTGTCCCTGGAAATAGATTGACTAAAATTACCCCCAAGTAGCTTCTTTGAGGATAAGGTTTCTTAGATTTGAAAAAGAAGAAAAAAGGCTTATGACCATTAAATGATTCTATCTGGACTCGTACTCAATAGATATATGTAGTCTTCTCTGTGCTCAGAACTGTGGGAGAGCCCCCCAAAATCATAACATATCCTTTGCACTTAGGAAGCTTACTGTATGATTGTTTGCCTCTTTAACTTTTAATTTTGACATAATTATAGATTCACAGAAAGTTGCAAAATAATGTACAAGGAGGCCCTGTGTATCCTTCAGCCAGTTTCCCTCAATGGCAACATCTTACAATAACTATAGGATAATATTGAACCCTTGCTGTTGGTTTTAACATGCAAAGTTACCCTGAAGGTGTTTTAAAAAGCCTGTGTTTGTGTATACCTCACTTCATCTTGAAAGACTGTTTCAAGCAGCTTATCGAGATGCAGAGAGGGGAGAAAAAGAGAAAATTGGAATAAAAGGAAAATGAAGGTGTTGGGTGATCTGTACATACAATGCATGTATAAATGTCTGGATAGTTGGTGAAGGATTGTAGAGTTTTCACTGTATTTCCTGAAGGTCAGAACAAAGAAGGGAATGCAATATTATAAGATTTGTGGTTTCACATATGATAAAAACAGCCAGATGTTTGGGAGAAACATTTCTTTACCTGAAACTGAGCCCAGAAAAGTTTCTCTAATGTTTCCTCATAGAGAAGACACTATGAGGTGGGAACAATACAATTAACTGTTATAAACCTAGTGCCGATTAAGTGGGTCTGAGTTGGGGGAGTATGAACATATAGTAGAGAAAGTGATTGCCTTTGACTGGGGAAGGCTGTGGAGCTGGGACTTGGGACTTCTAGAGCTGATTGGAATGAGGATGTTGACCAGACTTACAGAAATAAGTGTCCTATGTACCACCGGGGATTCTGTGGATAGAACATCTTTGTCTTATCTGACTCTCTCTGGGACAGGAGGCATTTTATTCAGACTTCAACCTCAATTCCTAATCAGCTGACATCTGCTCTACCTTCCTTCCTTGCTAGGCTTTCTAACCTTGTGGAGACACCCAAGATTGTTCGGAAGCTCTCGTGGGTGGAGAACTTGTGGCCGGAGGAGTGTATCTTTGAGAGGCCCAATGTGCAGAAGTACTGCCTCATGAGTGTGCGGGATAGCTATACAGACTTTCACATTGACTTTGGCGGCACCTCCGTCTGGTACCATGTGCTCAAGGTAGGAATGGATATGGCTTCTGGAGGCAGTCAGGTCTAGGACCATCCTGTTTGTTTCAGGTGAAGATTTTATTAATTTTTTTTTTAAGATTTTTATTTATTTATTTTTAGAGAGGGAAGGGAGGGAGATAGAGAGAGAGAGAGAGAGAAACATCAATGTGCGGTTGCTGGGGGTTATAGCCTGCAACCCAGGCATGTACCCTGGCTGGGAATCGAACCTGGGACACTTTGGTTCCCAGCCCGTGCTCAATCCACTGAGCTACGCCAGCCAGGGCTTAAGATTTTATTAATTTTTAAAAAGATTTTATTTATTTATTTTTAGAGAAAGGGGAAGGGAGGGAGAATGAGAAGGAGAGAGACATCAATGTGTGGTTGCCTCTTCCATGTCCACAGCTGGGGACCTGGCCAACAACCCAGTCATGTGCCCTGACTGGGAATCAAACCAGCAACCCCTTGGTTCACAGGCTGGAGCTCAATCCACTGAGCCACTCCAGCCAGGGCTATTTATTTATTTTTAGAGAGAGGGGAAAGGAGGGAGAAATAGAGGAAGGAAAACATCAATGTGTCATTGCCCCTTGCACATCCCACACTGGGGACATGGCCCACAACCCAGACATGTGTCCCAACTGGGAATCGAACTAGTGACCCTTTGGTTTGCAGTCCAGCACTCAATCCCATGAGCTACACCAGCCAGGGCTAACTATTATCTCTTAATTGAACCAAAATATAATATACTCCTACCACACTATGTATGGAAACATCCATATTTACTGTACAAATTCCTGATAACTTGAGAAACTTCCCTTCTCCCCAACTTTATTGGGTATAATTTATGTACCATAAGATTAATGTTTTAAATGTATAGTTTGATGAATTGCCACACTGGTGTATAATTGTATATTCCACCACTATCAAGATAGAGCATATATGAGAAAGTTTTTTTTTAATGTTTTGTTTTATTTTTGCTTAGAGAGAGGGTAAGGAAGGGAGAAAGAGAAGGAGAGAAACATTGATGTGAGAGAGAAACATCGATTGGTTGCCTCTATATGCACCCCAACCAGGGGACTGAACCAGCAACCCAGGCATTTGCTCTTACCAGGAATCGAACCAGGGACCCTTTGGTTTGTGGGATGATGCCCAACTGACTGAACCACTCCAGCCAGGGCTAAAAGGTTTTTTTTTTTTAATGTCAGCTTTTCTTTTTTTTAAAGATTTTATTTATTTATTTTTAGAGAGGGAAGGGAGGGAGAAAGAGAGAGAGAGAGAGAAACATCAATGTGCGGTTGCTGGGGGCCGTGGCCTGCAACCCAGGCATGTGCCCTGATAATGTCAACTTTTCTATATACAGTTTCCCTTTTAGTTGTTGCAGTTTTGTAATTAGCATATCAATTGCTAATAACTATAAAGGATTTTCGAGGTCTGGAAAAAAATTTCTTAAGTAATTTTGATTGTTTTCCACCACAGGTCATATTATTTAGTTTTCTTATCAGAAATGCCAAGGAAGGAGCAGAAAACAGATATGGCTCTTGTCCAAATGATCACCAATCCTGAACTAGTTGTTTCCATTGGTTTCTCATGAAAACATTGGAGCATTTAAAAGAAAGTGCTATTATGCAGATGTTATATTTAACTTTTTATTTTTTATAGAAGAATTACAAAAATAATAGGAAGAATTTCTGTGTGTCCTTCACTCAGTTTCTCCAAATGTTACTGTTTTATTACATTATTTCTTTCTCTAAAACAAATATAATAAAATGGATTTACATATATTTTTTCTGAAACATTTAAGAGTAATTGTAGACGTGTCCCTTTATCTCATGATAATTCAGTATGTATTTCTTAAACAGGGGCATTACAGTATAGTTACCGAAATCAGGAAATTAATATTGACATAATACTATTATTTAATCTACAGATCTGATTCAAATTTCTCTAATTGTCCAATAGATAATTTCTACTGTTGTTGCTTTTCTGCATTGAAATTTATCATGGAATATTAAAGCAGTCAAGCTGTGGGTTGGGGATATTTTTGTGCTAGTGGGTTTTTGTGTTTTTTCTGCCAAATTATCTATCTGGTGATTATCCAGGCAAAACATAATTAGGAAATAAAATGTTCTTTTAACAGATAATCACCTAACATAAAATCTTTCAGAAGTCCTTGGGCGATTACTGAACTTTTAAACTTTTATTAGCTTTGATTGCAGGTGTAAGAAGGAATACTCTCTGCAAATGCATTTAGGCAAATTCAATTTTCTTCTCATCAGTAATGTGGCCTTAAATTCTCTTAGGGCTGGTAGTATTGATCTTTTCATCTATAGAGGCCATTCTTCATTTGGCATTGCATCAAAAACAAGACCCTTTGGTGTACATTTGTGCTAAGTTGAACAATTTTGTTTGAAATACCCTTCTAAATTATTTTTGTCAATCTTATAGAAGCTTTAAAGTGAAAAAGCACCTTTCAAAGTTTTCCAAATCCACATAGAAATGTTCTTGGATGGGTTTTGGGAAAAATGCTGGCATACTACATGGTGTTGGGGCATGGGAGAGAGAATGTCCTTTTGGGTACGCCCCTGGAGACCTTCCTGGAAAGTCTGGTGTTTTAGGCATTTCAACCTCTTTTTGTTTCAGGGTGAGAAGATCTTCTATCTGATCCGCCCAACTAATGCCAACCTGACTCTCTTTGAGTGCTGGAGCAGCTCTTCTAACCAGGATGAGATGTTCTTTGGGGACCAGGTGGACAAGTGCTACAAATGTTCCGTGAAGCAAGGACAGACACTTTTCATTCCTACAGGTCTTCCCCGGGCCCCTCTGGGAGCGTTTGAGGAGGGTGGGAAGAGGAAGAAAGCTTGTGGCACCAGACCCAACCACCTCCCATAATGTGTTGATCTGATTATGTGGGTTATCCCTTTCTTATCAGCTGAAGGCTCAGAACTGAACCTCAAGAAAATTCACACGGTGGCTAGTGGGCAGCATGGTCACTTGGGAAGGTTACTGGTAGGGAGGCCCTGGAGGAGGCTGATAGACTGCTTTGCACTAGTCTGATGGCAACTTGGTGCACAGATAGAGAATAGGACTCTAAGCCTTATGACATAGGGATAGTGACTGGGGGTCTGGCTTTGCAGGCTGGGGTGAGGGTGTGTCTTTTTCCCCTAAACAATACATGCATAGGCTTCACCCCTAGAATTCTGAATTTGTAGGTCTTGGGTGGGATCTGAGTGTGTGTATTTTGAAAAAGCCATCCCAGTTGCCTCAATTTGGGAAAAGTTGACATATTTACTATGTTTAGTCTTCCATTATCACTGTAAGTCCATTTATTTAGATTTTTCTTGATTTTGTAATTTCTTGTTTTTAGAATTAGTGTTAAATTTTCTCGAACCGTTTGGTAGAATTCTCTAGTGCGTTCTCATGAACCTAGAGATTTCTTTTGGGGGAAGTTTTTAATTAGCATTCAATTTGCTTAAACTTTATTAGGCTATTCAAATTATTTCATAATGGGGGGGTTGTGATAGTCTATGCTTCTAAGGAATTGGTCCACTTTATCTAAGTTGTGAAATTTATGTGTGTAGAATTGTTCATAATATTTCTTTATTATCCTTTTGCTGTCTTCCAATTCTCTAGTGAGATCTTCTGTTTCATTCCTGGTATTTGTGCCTTCTCTTTTATTCTGTGTAAATACTGATAAAGATTTATCAATTTTATTGAACTTTTTAAAGAAAACTTGTTTCATTGATTTTCTCTGTTGTCTTTCTGTTTTCATTTTCACTGATTTCTCCTTTTATCTTTGTTTTTTCTTCCTTCTACCTGCTTTTGATTTATTTTGCTCTCCTTTTTCCAGTCTTGAGACAGGAGCTTAGATAATCGATCTTAGACTTTCCCTGTTTTCTAGTGTAAGCTTTTAGTGCTATAAATTCCCCACTCACTGATTTTCCTGTGTCACATATTTTGATACATTGTATTTTCATTTTCATTTAGTTAAATATACTTTTCAAAAAAAATGAGACATAATTCACATGTCATAAAACTTAACCATGTTTAAGGGTACAGTTCAGTTTTAAAAAAATATTTACAGGGTTATGCAACCATCACTGCTATGTAATTTTCATCACGTTAGAAAGAAACCCTGTGTTTATTAGCAGCCACTCTATATTCTTCCCTCCCACCAGTCCCTGTCAGCCACTTTTGTACTGTATATGTATTTGCCTATTCTGAATATTTCATGTAAATGGAGTCCTACAATAGGTGATCTTTTGTATCTGGCTTCTTTCACTCATAATGCTATTTCCTTTTCTTGTTTTTTTTTTCTTTTTAAATTATTTATTTTTAGAGAGAGGGGAAGGGGGTAGAAACAGACCTAGAAACATTGTTTTCTCAGTTGCCTCTTGCCCTCCTCCAACTGGGAACCTGGCCTGTAACCCAGGAATGTGCCCTGATTGGGAATTGAACCAGCGGCCTTTCCATTTGTGGGGTGATGCCCAACCCACTGAGCCACACCAGTCAGGGCTCAGCATACTGTTCTCAAGGTTCATTCATGTTATAGCACATATCAGTACTTCATTCTTTAAATGGATGAATGAGTCCACTGTGTGGATATACCCCATTTTGTTTATTCATTCATCCTTTTGTAGTTCTTTGGATTGTCTTTACTTTTTGGCTATTATGATTAATGGTGCTATGAACATTCATATACAAGTTACTTTGTTAACATATTTTCACTTCTCTTGGGTACTGTATTTTTTGGACTATAAGATGCACTGTTTCAGCCCCCCCGACCCCCACCAAATTTGGGAGGAATAATGGTTGTTAATGCTGCTGTTGAGTTCTGTTTACATTTACATTGGTGAAATATTATGTTATTTATGTTATTAAATATTTTACCACATTTTTTACTTCAAAAAATTTTTTTCCTATTTTTCTCCTCTAAAACCTAGGTTCATATTATGGTCTGAAAAATACAGTATATACCTGGGAGAGGGTTTGCCGAATCCCGTGGTAGCTCTATGTTTAACTCTTTGAGGAACTACCAAACACTTTTCTAAAGCAGCTGCATTATTTTGCATTCTGGCCAGTGATTTATGAGGGTCTCAATTTTTCCACATCCTCCCAACACATGTCCTTGTCTGTCTTTATGATTATAGACTTTCTAGTGGGTGTGAAGTGGTATGTCCTTGAGATTTTAATTTGTGTTTCCCTAATGACTGTTGATGCTGAGAATCTTTCCATGTGCTTACTAGACATTTGTATATATTTTTTTGAGAAATGTTTATTCAAAAGCTTTGCCCAGTCTTTTAGTAATTTGTCTTTTAATTATAAATATTCTTTATGTATTTTGGATGTTAGACTTTTATCAGATATATGATTTGCAAATATTTTTCTTTCATTCTGATTGTTGTCTTTTCATTTTGTTGATACTGTTCTTGACATTGGTCAAGAGTCCAGTTTATCTGTTTTGCTTGTGCTTTTGGTGTCACATCTAAGAGACCATTGCCTAATTTGGACTCATGAAGATTTTATACCTGTGTTTTCTTCTGAGAGCTTTATAGTTTTAGTTCTTCAGATCTTTCATCCATTTCAAGTTAATTTTTGTATATGATAGGCAAGATTCCAATTTCATTCTATGGTATGTGGATGTTAGTTGTTCCAGACACCTTGAAAAGACTGTTCTTTCCCTATTGAATTATCTTGATATCTTTGTAAAAAATCAAATAACCATAGGTACATTAGTTTATTTCTGGACTTTGAATTCTGTTCCATTGTTCTATATGTCTATCCTCATGACAGTATCACAGTGTCTCACTGTACCTTTTCAGTAAGTTTTGAAATCAGGAAGTGTTAACCCTCCAACGTTGCTTTTTTTGTCAAGATTATTATTGCTATTCTGGGTACCTTGAATTTCTATATGAGTTATAGCTTCAGTTTTTGTATAGGCTTCTTAATGGTTACTCTAGTATTGTTTTATATCTATCTGTCTTATCACAGTCTACAGGTATTGCCATTTTAATTGACATTTAACCAGCTGGAGGCAAGAGTTGAAACCTTACCTCTGTTCACATCCCTTTAACCTTCCCATTTATAATGTATTTGTCTTAAATACTTCCTCTGTATATATTGAGAACCATATAACACAGTGTTTTAATTTTTGTTTCAACTATCAAACATAACTTGGAATACCCAAGAGAAGGAAAATCTGTTCTATTTACCTAGATTTTTCACTTTTTTCTTCCTTCCTTCCTGGTATTGTAAGATTCCTTCTTTGATCATTTCCTCTCTGTTTATAGTCAGGGTAAGTCTGCTTACAACAGATTCTCTTAGTTTTCTTTATCTGTTAATGTCTTAATTTTCCTTTCATTCCTGAAGGATATTTTTGCTGGCTCTAGAATTCTAGGTTGATAGTTCTTTACTTTTAGTGCTTAAAGAATGTTGTGCTGCTTCCTTCTGGCCTCCGTGGTTTCTGGTGAGATTTCAACTGTCATTTAACTGTTATTCAAGTTGGTTTCCCCCCCATGAGGGTCATTTCTTGATACTTTTTACTTTTAAAAAGTTTTCAGCAATGTATGATATGGATTTCTTTGAGTTTATACTATATGTATTCACTGAATTTCTTTCTTTTTTAAAAAAATATTTTATTGTTGTTTAATTACAGTTGTCTGCCCCCTCTCACTACCCCCAACCCCAGCGAAACCCACCTCCCTCCCTTGCTTCCACACTCCCCCTTGGTTTTGTCTAAGTGTCCTTTATAGTAGTTCCTGAAAACCCTTTTCCCCATTGTCCCTTCCCCACTCCCCTCTGGTTATTGTTAGAATGTTCTTAATTTCAATGTCTCTGGTATGGAATTTCCTCAGAAAACTAAAAATGGAACTGACTTTTGACCCAGCAATTCCACTGCTGGGATTATATCCTAAGAGCCCTGAAACACCAATCCAAAAGAACCTATGCACCCCAATGTTCATAGCAGCACAATTTACAATAGTTAAGTGCTGGAAGCAACCTAAGTGCCCATCAGCAAATGAGTGGATCAAAAAACTGTGGTACATTTACACAACAGAGTACTATGCAGCAGAGAGAAAGAAGGAGCTCCTACCCTTTGTGACAGCATAGATGGATCTGGAAAGCATTATGCTAAGTGAAATACACTAGGCGGTGAAAGAGAAATACCATATGACCTCACCTTTAACTGGAACATAATCAACAAATGAAAAAAGCAAACAAAATAACTGAATTTCTTGAATGAATGAATAGGTTTGTATCTTTTGCCATTATTTCTTTAAATACCTTTTCAAACCAACACTCTAACTTCTCTTCTTCTGGGTCTCTGATTATATGAATGTTACATATTTTGTTGTAGTCCCAGGTCCCTGAGTTTTTCTTTCTGTCAGTCTGTTTCCTTTCTCTTGTTCATATTAGGTACTATCTTCAAGTTCTCTGATTCTTTTCTCAATTGTCTCCATTCTGCTGTTGAGCCCTTTGCTTGCTTTATTTATTTCATATATAGTATTTTTCAGTTCCAATATTTCCATGTTTCTTGTTTATATCTTCTTTCCATTTCTTTTTTGTTTGTTTTAAGCATGTTGTTCATTGAAGCAGTTTTATATATCAACATCATATTGATTTGGTTACATTGGTTTTGTAGAATGTTTACTATATAGTGAGGCAAGTCACCCCCACTGTCCCTATATCCATCTGCTTTTCTCTTTTATAGTTTTCTATTCTCAGGCATAATGCTTTTTCTACACTGAGCACTTGGTAACTGATTGGTGAATTGAATTTCCCTATTAGAGATTTGAGTTGGTTTAATTTTCATCTTGGGGGAAATTTTCACAAATTGGTGCAATCTGCTTAGTTCCACAAGAGTTGAGTGTCTGCTGTCTGCCCCAACATTCAGCTCAGTGCTAGGGACAAACATTCAATAGGCCATTTCAGCATAATATTCTCATAGCCATAATAGAGGTATTCACCAGAAGTTTTGGGAGCACAGAGAAGAACACTTAGTCTAGCCAGCGGTTTGTTAAAATCTCAGAAGAGTGATACCTGAAGGGTAAGTAGGGACTGACCGAGGAAAGAAAGGCAGGAAAGACATCTTAGACATAGGGAAAGGCATAAGGAAATGAAGCAAGGCTGTGTGGTACAGTTTGTGGATACAGGACCCTGAAGATCAAGGGCTCAAGGGCTGGGAGCAAATGAAGTTGAAAAGGTAGGCAGGCTGAACTTAACCTAGAAGTGACTGGAGACCATTAAAAGTTTGTTTTATTTAATTTTTAATGAATATTTCAGATGTACCAAAAATATGAATAATACAATGAACATTTTTTGTGTTTATAACTTAACTAAAATATAAATCGTTACAAATATATTTGCAGCCTTCTGTATACATTTCCTCAATTATATTACCATTTTTCTTCTCAGAGGTGGCCATTGTCCTGAAGTTGCTAATGACCATTCTTATGAATTTTGATCTCTTTATTATATAGGGAGCCTCGTTAAGCAATATATCATATTGCTTTACATATTTTTGAATATTATAGAAGCGGAATCATCATATTTAAGATATAGTTTTCTCAACTTGCTTTTTTTCCCTGAATATTGTGAGATCCATGTTGAATCATATAGCTGAAGTTCGTTCATTTTACTTGCTTCCCAGTGTTCCATTGTATGAGTATAGGGCCGTTTATTAATTCTTCTGTAGGGGGACATTTCACTGAAGAGTTTTGAGCAGGGGATGACATGGACAGATTTGTATTTTAGATCTATCACTTTGCTTTGGGACATGAAAGGTAGACTTCAGAGATTGAGATTGGTGTAGAGCAGTGGTTTGCCAACACTTTGGGCTCAGGACCTCTTTATATTCTTAAATATTATTGAGGACCCAAAAGAGCTTTTACTTTTTGGTTTATATTAATATTTACTATGTTATAAATTAAACAGAAAATTTAAAAATATTTCTTAATCATTGAGAGTTAATAGTAATAAGCCCATTACATATTAGTATAACAATTTGCATGAAAAATAACTTTTAAATCCCCCCAAATTTAGTGAGATTAATATTTACATTTTTGCAAATATTTTAAATGTTTACAAAAACATTTAAACAACTGGATCCTCAAATCTGCTTCTGTGCATTGTCATATCATGTCATACACCCTCTGGAAAATTCCACTGTACACTCGTGGGAGAATGAGGATGAAAAAGATCACACTTTAGTATTATCATGAGCACAGTTCTGACCTTGGATATGCTCGGAGTCTCACAGACCCCCAGGGTTCCCTGGAGCATACCTTAAAACTGCTGGTGTGGAGGAGCCAGTTTGGAAGCTGTTGAAAGTAGCCTGGGTGGTAGATAATGAGGTGTCTAACCAAAGCATTGGTAGGATGGATGGATGGAGAAGGGGAGGTGAATATGAGAGATATTTAAGGAGAGAAAGCAGAAGGTTCCAGAAGGTAATATAGGGTTAAGGACAAGGAGAATGGAGTTCCAACTTAGGTGCATGCTTCAGAACTGGCTTGTGGAGTAGATATTCAGTTAGAAATGGCAGAATTTGAACCCAGATCTGCCCAACACAGTAACTCTGTTTTATCTAGGGCAGAGTGAGAAGGGGTAGTCATTGGCAAGGAGGTGATGCCCTTCTTAGAGACGAGAGAGAGGATGGATGAGGCAATAAAGATTTTGAAGTGGTGAGGAGGGATGTAGGAGTTTATTAACCCCATAGATTGTTCCAGTTCAGGATTATAATGATGTCAGACTTTGCCAGGATGGGTATTGGGAGAATGGAGGGACCTAAAATGTTCTGAATCAGAGGAACTTAGAATGTTCTGAGTTATTGCCACGCTGACTGCTAGAGCTGGGTTGTGTTTGAGCCGAGTGAGTAGTGGAGATGTCTTCCGGCTCTGATTTTGCCTTGTTGCATGGCAGGATGGATCCATGCTGTGCTGACCCCTGTGGACTGCCTTGCTTTTGGAGGAAACTTCTTACACAGCCTTAACATCGAAATGCAGCTCAAGTGAGTCCTGAGGCTATGGTGACCCTAAGTTGTCTATTCCCAATTGCTAGAGTCCTTGGGTTCTCTGGTACAGTGTGGAGTGCAGCATTGCAGGAGACCAGATGATCAGAAAGGAATGGATACCGGTTCCTGGTGCTATTCAGTGTGAGGATGAATACCTATTCCTCACTTAGTAGTTATGTGACTTTGGACATGTCACATAACCTTTGAGCCCAAGTTTCGTAACCCATAAAGTAGGATCTTATAGGGTAGTTGTGAGGATTAGAGATAATGGATACAAAGGATTCAGAACAATAGCTGATACCTAGTAGGTGCTCAATAAAGGAGATCCTTATCATTGTTGTTGTGCCTACTTCCTCCAGAGCTTATGAAATTGAAAAGCGGCTGAGCACAGCAGACCTCTTCAAGTTCCCCAACTTTGAGACCATCTGTTGGTATGTGGGAAAGCACATCCTGGACATCTTTCGCGGTATGAACCTCATTGCCAACTCTCCCTTTCACCTTGATCCCTGAGCATGTGTGTGCGTGTGTCTGTGCATGTAACCATCACCTCAATCAAGATACAATACTATTCCATTGCCACAGCGATCTTCCTGGTTCTACCCATGTGTAGTCTCCCCGACTCTGTTCCCCTGTACTGTCCATAACTTCTGGAAATCACTAATCTGTTTTCCATCTCTATAATTTTGTTATTTCAAGAATGCTATAAAACTGGATTCATACAGTATGTCGTCTTTTGTGATTGGCTTTTTAACTAAGCATGATAAAAAAGTAGGGTAAAGCATGGATTTAACTTTTTAAAAAGATTTTATTTATTTTTAGAGAAAGGGGAAGGGAGGGAGAAAGAGGGAGAGAAACATCAATAGGCTGCCCTTCATACGCCCTCAGCCAGGGACCTGACTGGTAACCCAGGCATGTGCTCTGACTGGGATTTGAACCAGTGATCTTTTGGTTTGCTGGATGACACTGAACCCACTGAGCTATATCAGTCAGGGCTAGATTTAACTTTTTTATTTAGCAAAGGTGACTAAGAAAATTGGACAATGGTGAAATTATCCCCGTTTGCTACCAATTAAGGTAAGAAACTCAGTCTGGGTAGTCTCAGTTTCCTGAAAAACACTGCTTCCCATTGGGACAAGGCCCAGTGCTGATCCTTGTGGCATCATTGTGTTGGTTCTGGGTATCCGCCCAGTGGAAGCTCACTTGCTGGGTTTCCTCTTACCCGTTCTGCTCTGAAATGGAGTGGCTCCCTTGATCAGACCTGAGATTCTTAAGGTGACTTGACCAGGAGGAATCAGTGTCTCAGAGTTATACAGAACCTCAGAGACAAGTTTCCTACCTAATACCTCAAGACCCTATTCTGCCACCTAGACGAACTATCACTTAAGTTTTCAGTTGGCTGGCAGATAACTAAACTGCTTATGACTTGATCTGAACAGCTCTGTTCAATAGAACATTCTTTATTGAGCCTAAATCTGGCTGTTTGTCATACCTTCCTCCTGGAGTAACTCAGAACAAGTGCATTAATGGCCCTTCAGGTCTGTGTAGATGGCAATCATGGTCCTCCTGAGTGTTGCATTTTGAAACTCAAGTGTAGTGAGAGAAGCACAGGCCTTGGAGTCAGACAGACATGGATTCAGCATTGACTTTGATACTTTACTAGGTGTATGTCCTTGGTCAAGTCTTTTTGCCTGTCTGAACCTCAGTGTCCTGAGCTATAAAATGAAGATAGTGGTACTTGGCACACAGGGTGGGATATAAAGATGTCAAATGCCTGACATGTAGTAGGTACTCATTAAATGAACGCTACTATAAGAATGAGATCTAGAGTTGTGTTTAGAACCTTGAGCATTTTCTCTGGTTGCCTGAAAAAAGTAACAAGCCTTTCACTTCCCTACATGGCTTTGTTCACACTCTGCCTTCCTCTTCTACCCTCTAGGTTTACGAGAGAACAGGAGACACCCTGCCTCCTACCTGGTCCATGGTGGCAAAGCTCTGAACTTGGCCTTTAGAGCCTGGACAAGGAAAGAAGTAAGTATACATATTTCTCTGCCTCCTTTAGAGTTGTGCCCTCTGTAGGGACTGGCCTTGTGTAGACACTTTGGGAAGGTGGAAAAGACCATGGAGGCTTGTGGGCTCCTGGTGCTAGAGTAGAGGACTCGGCTAGGGATCTTTGGATTATGTTATCAAATGTTTCTTTCTGGTTATAAGAAAGCAATACATGCTTACTCGAGAGAATTAGAAAAATACTGAAGAGTATAAAGAAGGAAAAATACAACCTGTAATTTTAATACTCAGAGGGAATTAACATGAACATTTGGGTATATTTTCTTCTGATCTTTCTTATGTGCATTTAAAAAATGTAATTGCTGTCACCCTGTACATACAATTTTGTATTTGAATTGATTGGCTTATCTTAAATTTCCTGTGTCACAGAAGTTCTCTGTAAACATTTAATAGTTATAGGATACTCTTTTTCGGGATGTACCATCCTTACTTGTTTATTGTTGCTTCCTTTTTATTTATTCATTTATTTGGGAGATAGTTAATAGAAATTCGTGCAATGAGTATTAGTTTTTGTCCCTCATCTCTTGATTGTTTCTTCAGGATAGATTGCTAGAAGAACAATTACTGCCTCAAAGTATATGGAAAAAAAAGTAAGACTCTTGATGCATATTGCCCAAATGGCTCTTTAGGGATATATCAATATCCATCTATCCAGTTGAATACTAAACAGCTATAAAAGAGATTAAGAAAGCTCTCTGTGTACTGATTTGGAAAGATCTCCAGCATCTGTCAAATAGAGGTGTAGAATCCTGTGTATAGTGTGCTACCTTATATACTACAATTATATTTGTATGTGCCTGTATTTGCCTGAAGACACAATCTGGAAGGATGCAGAAGAAACTAATAAATGTAACATATGGGGGTGGCCTAATGGAGTTGATGGCCTAATGTGGCTGATGAGGCTTTTCAGTATGTATCTTTATATATTGTTTGATTTTTAAATTATGTGACCGGATTATTTACTAAAAATGTTGACTTTTTAAAAAAGCAATTTTAAGAAATGGAAACACTAGAAGACATATCAACATATTTCTTTATCCTTCTGACACTTTTTATAGACTTCTCCTACACATACAGTGACCTAAGAAGACCTTTAGCCACTGCAGGATTGGCTTGCACAATCTCCCCATTTTCTGTTGCCAGTCATCCCCTCAGATATCCTTGGACTTTATGTGTTTTGCTTTCTCTTGCTCCTTAGGCTCATCTATGCCTGGGCCTTAGCCCGTCATTCTGTTTCTTTTCATCCCTCGGGTGTGGCTATCTTGCTTTCATCTCTGAAATCCCTTCCCCCCACCATGAAGTGAACTTCAGAGTAACTGTCCCAGAAACACCAAAGGGGAGGGAAGGGGATGGGTCCTAAGTACTCATGCCTTGGGTCAGGATGGCCCAGGGCCAATGACTCCAAATAGTGTGGCCAAAGGGAGCTGGTGGAGAGTAGGACACAGATCTGAAGAGCTCATGCTTATGGAAGAAGTCGTTTGTGAAGTACAGGTGATTTCCATGAGAGGCACTTGTTCCCTCACCTTTCCAGAGCCTCTGGGCTGGGAGGAGGGAGCTGTTAAGGTTATCCAGCTGGGTCATGTGGCTTCTAGGTGCCAACCTTTGCCCAGCCACCAAAATAAATTCCAGATGGATTAAAAGAATTAAAGGAATAAAAAGAATGAAATCATGGGAAACAAGGAGTAAATGCTGAGGAATTTTTATCAATCCTCTGGATACTGAAGTGAAGTGAAAACTGGTGGAAGACATCCCAGAGGAACAGCTTGAGAGATCTGGCTATGTAAACATGCAAATCTCAAGGACTCAAAAAGATTGCAAATGAATTAAGAGAGACAACCAACAGTTATCTCTCTGTGTTGCTGTTGAACTAGCTGTGGGCCGGTAGCTACTCAGCACTGAGTTGTGTCCTCACAAGTGTAGTAGAGGCTGGGATGTCCCCAGAGATCTCCCTTAGGTCTTAGACTTTTGAGGGATGTGGCCCAAACCTTCACCTGAGTCCCTCACGTGTCTTTGACACTGTCCTTCATCACATATATGTCTTGCAAATATTTTCTCTGTCTTTGGTTTGTCTTAACAGTGTTTTTCCAAGAGAAATTTTTCTTTTTAAGTTCAGTTTATCATTTGTTTTCTTTCTTTTATGGTTCATACTTTTTGTATCCTAAGAAACCTTTGCCTAACTCAAGGTCATAAAGATTTTCTTTTCTGCTGTCTTTTAAATGGTTTATAATTTTCAATGTTACATTTAGGTCTGTGATCCATTTTGAATTTGTATATATATCTGTGTGTGGTGCAAGATATGAATAGAGGTTCTTTTTGGGCATATGGTTATCTAATTGGTCTAGCACTATTTGTCACTACCCTTTCTCCATTGCCGTGGTACCTTTGTCAAAAATCAGTTGTTTATTTGTACGTGGGTCTATTTCTCTCTTCTTCATGCTTTTTGTTTGACAGGCTCTTCCAGACCATGAGGATGAGATCCCGGACACAGTGCGGACTGTACAGCTCATTAAAGATCTGGCTAGGGAGATACGCCTGGTGGAAGTAAGAAGTATGGGAGCAGGGGAGGTGTTTGGGAAGGGTTTGAGGCTTACGTGGCAAGGTCAGGTCTCTGAAGTTGGCATAAGAGCTTAGGGGAAGGGTTGGGAAGGCCCCACCAGGGACTCTATTCATTCAGATAATTCTATTATGTGCCTTGAGTGTGCCGCACATTGGGCTAGGTGCTTAGGATACATAATACAGTGCCTGTCCACAAAGAACTCACAGTCTGGAAGGGGCGCTGGGAGAAGTTAACCTGTCTAAGCCTTATTTCCTCATCTCCAAAGTGGGGAGAATTGTACATACTCAGGGGTTGTTAAAAGGGTTAAATAAGGTAATACAGTTTGAGCATTAAGTATAGAGCTTGGCACACAGTAGGTGCTCAATAAATTCTGATGGTGTGTCATGGTGGTGGTGGGTGGTGGAGGTCACAGTAGTAGCAGTTGTTGTTAGTTGTTGTTATTAACATTTTGACTCAGTCTCTGCATTGTACAAAATGACAGTTCCCTCGGGTTGAAGGTGATTACAAAGCCATGTTCCAACAGGTGGCATAAACCGTGAGGCAATAAGGTGTAGTGGTAAGAGACTCAGAGAAATGTGGGTTCTGGTTCCTGCTTTGTCACTTCCAAGACTTTCAGAGCCTCAGTTCCTTATCTATAAAGTGGGGATAACTCCACTTTTTCAGAGTTTTGTTAGAACTAAAAACTGATGAATGTAGAGCCCCTCGCATAGTGCCTGGCAGAGTTAAGGACTGAATAAATGTCAGCCATTGTTATTAATAATAGACTTTGCAGCAAAGAGAATTCAGTGTGGGCTGGTGAAGCAACAGAGGCACCAGAGGAGGATTGGACTTCAGGAAGTTTAAATTTCCCTTTAGCTCAGAATCTGTAAAGTCCCATTTAGCACTAAATCCATGCTGGAGGGTGGTCAGAGTGAGCTACTGGGAAGCTGGGCTTCTAGCCTTACTACTTACAGCATGTTTCACTGCCTACAGCATAGCTTCCATTGTCCACCTCCGACCTCATTTTCCTACACTCCTATTTGTCAGAATCCTTCTGGTTTAATTAGAAGGCCTACCCTTTTCCCAGCTCTTCTCACTTCAACCATTTTGTATATGTAGACCTTTGGTCTAGTTGGAAGGGGACTTAGTGATGGGTCATACCTGATCCATTGACTTTCAAACATTTTAAAGCAATGGAATCCTTTTTTTCAAAGAAGATTTTACATGGAAGTCTAATATATATAACCAGTCAAAGCATAGCTGATATGAATAAGATGAAGGCAATAGGCTTAGAGCTCCACTTGTTCCTCTTGTTTGCCTTCCACCTCCCTCTAGTCGCCATGGCCCCTCCCAAGAAGCTCAAAGGAGCCATAGAACATCTTTGAAAACCACCTTTCTAGTCTAATTTTTTAATTTTATAGTTGAGTCAACAGAGCCCCAGAGTGGTTAGATCACTTTTCTGAGACCACAGAGGTAGCTAGTAGCAGAATTAAGACCAGAACCTCTCTGTTTCTCTCAAATTCTTCAGTTGGAACCACATAGTATAGTACTCAGTTATTTTGTCTCATGTCAGCTGCTCTTGGAGCCTTTTCTCTCGGTTTTGACAGTAATGCTGGGCTTTCCCTCTGCTCATCTTCTCTGTATTTGTCAGTGACTGAGTAAAGAAATGCCACCTAGTAAGTTCTTGATGACTCATCGTGCAAAAACTAGGGTGTGCCTGTGTGGAGCATGTGTAAGCCACTTGCACGGCAGTACTGCCAGTGCCATGAATAGACCTCTGCTGTTAGCAGAAAGAACCCTTGAGTAAGCTCTAACCCCCTTGTGTACTGACACTCCTGTAGGATATCTTCCAACAGAAGGTTGGGAAGATGAGTAATATCTTTGGGATGCAGAGGATCTCCCCAGCAGCTCCATTCCCTTAAGCAGACCAGCCCATTCCACTTTAGTAGCCATGTACAGACTGCCACTGCCCTCCAAAAGTGATTCAGAGAAGAAAGCCTGAAGCCTAAGGAACTCTTCAAGAAGGCAGAGCAAAAGGGCGAGGAGAGCTCAGCCTTGGGGCCCTCTGGCCAATTGAGCTATAATCTCATGGGCATACACAATCATCAGGCACTGAAGACAGGTTCTTCCCAGAAAGCAAAGGTGGGTGCTGGCCCATGGGTTCAGCCCAACCCTTTTGGGTCCATTGAAAGAGCAGGGTATCAAAAGGACAGGCTATTCTGTTCTCCCACCTCTCTTAGGGCCCCTGGTGTTTGGCTACCAGTCCCACTCATTTAACAGGCATTTGTTGAGACCTTGTCTATGCTGGGCACTGTGATAGGTGCTGCTATAGATGTAACTTTCAAGAGGCTGACAGGCTAATGAGAAAGATAGACATAAAAACCAATGAGTACAATGAAGTATTGTGGATGCCACAATCAGGGGTGTGTGTGGGGCCCTGAGACACAGAGGGGATTATTCTATCAGGAAAGGGGCAATGGTAAGGAGCGCTTCTCAGAAAATGTGACATGAGCTGAATCTTGAAATGCTGGGATGGGAATGGCATTTGAGAACATGTTATGTGATTGCCAGGTTGGAGTCTTAAAAAGGTCCTTGAGAAAAGCTATCCTCCAGGGCTCTACCTTGCCTCAAGGTTGTGGTGCCTTCTATGGGCATGTGAAAGTGCTCCTCCCTCTTTTTAGGGAACGTGTTTTATAAGATTGATAGGGTCCCCCCTGAAGCCAGCCATACATTCTCAACTTCCTACTCCTGTGATCATTTGGGGTGGGGATGCGGGGGGGGGGGGCAGTGTAGCAGAAACCTTTGTTTAGGTGGTTTTGACAGTGAACTAAACCAGTGAAACCAGAGGGAACTGGCTGTCTTGATTCACATGGGAGACCCAGACAGGTGACAACTGAGCCTCCTCCTTCTGCAGTTCAACATCACTGGTACCTGCTTGAATGATTCAGACGATGACTCGCCAGACGTGGACGTTGGTGGGAATGAGGGCCCACTGGCCCTATTGATGTCTAATGGCAGGTGAGGTGGAAAGAATGAGCACAGAGATACTGGGACTGTTGGTGGCAACATGCCACTGACACAGAGCATGGAATCGGGACCTGGGACTGGAACATGGGTTGGGGAGGGACTGCACTTGGGGAAATACCCAGAAATTACCAAATATCATTGCTTAGTTCAGAGAACCATTGTGTGTTTGTGGGTGGTAGGGGAGAAGTCTGGAGTCTAATTGGTAATCCTCAGAAAAATCTTGTATAAGATCTAGAAATTTCAGCAAGTCAGAACTGCTTGCAGGTATAAGAGGTAGGATAGTATAATGGTTAAGAGCATTAGTTTTTTATATACCTTTGCTATTCAATTTTTAGGAATTTATTTTGCAGAAATATTTGCACAGGTATATAAAGAGAAATGTTCACATCTTTATAATAGTAATTAGAAATGTTCATCAATAAAGGTAGGGTAAATAAATTATAGTGCATCTAGAATAGAATACCATGCAGCTGTTAAAAAAGAATTAGTTTAATTCTTGACATGGAGAGATCAAGGTAAATTCTTAAGTGAAAAATTCAGTTTATAAAATAATATATAAGGATAGTTCCATTTTAATTTTTTAAAAATGCATGTGTATACATGTATGCTTGTGTATGAAAGCAATATACAGATTTTTTCCCTTTATTTTAATTTAACTTTTTCAAAGAATTTTAAAATTTAATTTATACAATTTAAAATTCGAAAACCATTAAAGAATACATAGTGAAACATTTTGCTTTCCTCTCTTTTCCCCAGTTCCCCTCCTCATGGGTAACCAATGTCAATGATTACTTTCCAGAGATAATTATACACATTCACACAAATAAATATATTTATTACTTTACACTTGTCAACCAAACTTGTAACAGTAATTACCTCTGGAAAGTAGGATAGGGAGGCAGTAGAGGAAATTTGCACTTCAGTGGTATTTGAATTTTATACAGTGATCATGTATTACTCTTCTTAAAATAATTTTTAATAGACCATTTTATTTTTTTAAAAAAATATTTTTATTTATTTTTAGAGTGAGGGGAAGGGAGAGAGAAAGAGGGAGAGAAACATTGAAATGTCGATCGGTTGCCTTTCCTATGTGCCTGACGGGGGACCAGCCCTACAATCCTGGCATGTGTCCTGACTGGGTATCGAACCAGTGATCTTTTGCTTTGCTGGACAATGCCCAGCCAACTGAACCACAGCAGCCAGTGCAACAGAACATTTTCTAAAAAAATAAAAGCTGTTCACAACAAAAAGCATGGGCTTGGGACTCAGACAATCGAGTTTGAATCTCAGCTCTGACATGTATTCATGTGTGATGATGGCAAGGTAATTAACCTGTCTGCCTCAGTGTTCTCATATCTGTTCTATAGATAAAACTTACTTAGGGTTGTTGGAAGAATAAATGAGATAAGTATATATAAAGTGCTTATCAGAGGGCCTGCCACATAGTAAATGCTTGATTTAATGGGAGCTCTTATAAATACAATGATGAGGTTGAAGATGAAAGGTGATGGTGGTGGTGATGGTGGTGGTGATAATGGTATGTGTATGAACACTGACTAGGTCATCAAAAATCCTGAAACACATAGGCAGGCAGAAGAAGGTTTAGTAAGAGTTATCATCTGGACACCCAGAATACCAGGAGCTGTCAAGAGCCAAGTACAGAGTATGAACATTGTGGGACCTCAAGCAACAAGGATACCTTAATAGCCTTTTTGTGGGAAAAGGTTGTCTTCAGATCCCAAGGGTGAGGTGTAGTAGTTCACCTGGCTGAGAAATAAGGGAAAAGAGAGTGTGAGAGTAGGGCAGATTCTGAAAGCAGTAGAGCTATCCTTTGAATTTGAGAGCCTTGTTACTAAAGAATAAGATCAGTGAGCATTGCCTTTGTCCAGAACCAATGGTTGGTCTCTGGGGAAGAGAAAATTGAGAGCCCTAAGGGTCCAGCCTGTAATGGCTACTGGGGACACAATGAGACATTTCCCCTTCCCTACCAGTCTTTCTTGTGCTGCTTCTATTATTTCCTGAAGCTGCAGAGGTGGCTTTTAAGTGAACCTACAGAATCAAGGTATAGAAATATTTACAGACCAGATGATGTTATGTCTGGACTTTTCTCCAAAGTGATCCAGTATTTTGTAGGGACTGAGGTGTAAATGAAACAAGATTGGCTGTGTGTTGATAATTGCTGAAACTTAACTGGGTGATAGGTACATTGGAGTTTTGTTATACAATACTTTTATATTTTCGTATATATTTGACATTTTTCATGACTAGAAGTTAAAAAGATCAGGGCATAAATAGCTACCATTTACAGAGCATGTTCTCTTTATCAGACTCTATTTTAGCTATTTACATATATTATTTTGTTTAGTCCTCAGAGCAACCCTGAAGGTCAGTGTTGTGACCTCTGTTTTACTAATATGGAAACTGAGGCCCCAAGAACTTAATTATATAAAAGATTAGCTACCATTAGGCACTTGCCATGTGTCAGTCTCTGCATTAGCTCATTTAATCCTCCCAACAACTCTGTGAAGTAGAAAGTAGGCCAATTTAATGAGAGCCAATTCACTGAAAGCTAGTTCACCAAATGATTATTTGCCAAATATATCAAGTATACTAATTTACCAAAAACATACTTCTTTTTAACAATAAGGTTTATTTTAGCAGTTTGTACTGGTTAATATTATTTACCATGTATAACAGGATTATTTAAGGCATTATTGAGTTTCACTTCCTTTATATATTTTAACAGCTTTTTTGAGGTATAATTTACATATCATACAATTAACCTATTTTAAGTGTACTAGTAAGTGACTATTAATAAATTTAAAGAATGTATAAACATCACCACAATCCAATTTTAAAATGTTTCTGTCACCTCCAAAGATCCCTAATACCCATTATAGTTAGTACTGGTTCCCTTCTCCAAGCACACACAACCACTAATCTATTTTCTGTGTGCCTTTTCTAGACATTTCATATAAATGGAGTCACACAATATGTGGTCTTTTGTATCTGGCTTCTTTCACTTAGCATAGTGCTTTTTAGGTTCCATGATGTAGTGGGTATCATTAATTGCTTCCTTTTTATTGCTGAGTAGTATTCCATTTATGGATATACTACATTTTGTTTATTCACTAGTTGGTGGTCATTTTTATTGTTTCCACTTTTGGCTATTGTGAATAATAGTGCTATGAGCATTTGCATGCAAATTTTTGTGTAGACATGTTTTTGTTTCTCACTGAGTAGTAAAATTTTGGATCATATGATAACTCTATTTTTAACTTTTTAAGAAACTGCCAAAATTTATTTCAAAATGTCTGTACCCTTTTATATTCCCACCAGCAATGACAAGTTTTTCCAAATACTAATTAATACTTGTTATTCTCTGTGTTTTTGAATTTTAGGCTTTCTGGTGGATGTAAATTGGTAGCTCATTGTGGCTTAATTTTCATTTAAGACTAACGATGCTGAGCATCTTTTCATGTGACTATTGGTCATTTGAATATCATTTTTAGAGAAACTTCTATTCAAATCTTTTGCTCACTTTTTAATTGGTTTATTTGTCTTACTAGAGAGTTCTAAGAGTTATTTAAAGGTAATGGGTAGAGATACTTCACTAGATAAATGATTTGCAAATATTTCTTTCCACTCTGTGTCTTGTCTTTTTATTTTTTTCTTAAGATTTTATTTATTTATTTTTAGAGAGGGGGGAGGGAGGAAGAAAGAGAGGGAAAGAAATAAAATGTGTGGTTGCCTCTTGCATGTTCCCCATTGGGGACCTGGCCCGCAACCCAGGCATGTGCCCTGACTGGGAATCAAACCAGCGATCCTTTGGTTCACAGGCCTGTGCTCAATCCACTGAGCTACACCAGCCAGGGCTCTTTTTATTTTCATAGTGTCTTCTGAAGCACAAACATTTTGAATTTTATGTAATCCCAGGTCACAAAGATATTTCCCTATGTCTTCTAGAAGTTTTATAGTTTTAGCTTTTTCATTTAGACCTATGATCCATTCTGAGTTAATTTTTGTGTACGATGTGAGGTACGAGTCCACATTTGTTTCTTTGCATGTGATAGCCAGTTATTTCAGCACTATTTGTCAAAAAGACCATTCTTTCCCAACTGAATTGTCTTGGCACCTTTGTCAGAAATCAACTGACCGTGAATTTAAGGTTTTAGTTTTAGACTTGCAGTGCAGTTCTGTTGATGTATGCCTATCCTTCTGTCTGTATCTCCCTGAATTACTGTAGCTTTATAGTAATTTTTAAAATTGAGTGGTATAAATCCTCCAACTTTGTTCTTTTTCCAAATTGTTTTGGCCATGTTGAGGCCTTTGTATACCCATATACATTGGTTTATTGATTTCTACAAAAAAAGTGAGCTGTATTTTTTTCAAAATAGTTTATTTTTTATTTTTTAAAATTTTATTTAAATTGTTGTTGCAGTACAATTTTCTGTCTTTTACTCCTATCCCAACCCACCCACCCATCCAGCCCTCTCCTCCTCCCTCCCATTTCCACCCACCCCTAGTTTTTATCCATGTGTCCTTTATACTCATTCCTCTAAACCCTTCCCCTTTTCCCCTGAAATTCCCCTGAAATTCCCTCTCGTCTCCCCTCTGAAGTCTGTCAGTCTGTTCTTTATTTCAGTGTCTTTGGTTATATTTTGCTTGTTTCTTTGTTTTGTTGTTTAGGTTCCTGTTAAAGGCGAGATCATATGGTATTTGTCTTTCACTGCCTGGCTTATTTCACTTAGCATAATACTTTCCAGTTGCATCCATGCTGTTGCAAAGGGTAGGAGCAAAAAGTGAGCTGTATTTTGATAGGGATTGCATTGGATCTATAGATCAATTTGGAGAGAATTGCCACCATAACAATAATGAGTGTGACTATTTTTATGTTCTTCTCTTTCTCTCTAGTACCAAGAGGGTAAAGAGCTTATCTAAGACTCGGCGAGCTAAGATTGCAAGGAAGGAAGACAAAGCTAGGCTAATGGCTGAACAGGTGATGGAGGATGAATTTGACTTGGATTCAGATGATGAACTACAGATCGATGAGAGATTAGGAAAGGAGAAGACAACCCTGATAATAAGACCAAGTGTGTACCCATTTTTTCTCTTTCCTGCCTTGCCTGCTTCACATTTGTTTTTGGTCCCCTTGATAGACTCCAGACATTAGTCTGGAGCTTGTTGACATTCTGATTTACCAGCTCTGTAGGCCTCCATGTAACATTTGCTCTAGAGATTTATTTATTTATTTTAATTTAATTTAAAATTGTTTTAGGGAGAGGGGAAGGGAGGGAGGAAGAGGGAGAGAAACATTGATGTGAGAGAGAAACATCGATCGGTTGCCTCTCACATGCCCTGAACTGGGCCAAACCTGCAACCTAGGCATGTGCCCTGACTGGGAATTGAACTGGCAGCCTTTCACTTTTTGGGATGATGCCCAACCAAGTGAGCCACACCAATCAGGGCTAGAGATTTATTTATAAGCTAATCCCTAACCTCTTTAAATTAGTCATCAGTGGTCATTACTTTCAGGAAAATTATAGTTTTATTTTCTTTCCCCTGGGTCTTTAGTTTAGATGCTGATCTTGGCTTCATGATAGGTGCATTCCATTGTTTTCTAGAATTTCCCCGAAAGCTGCCCCGTGCAAAGCCTTGCTCTGACCCCAACCGAGTTCGTGAACCAGGAGAAGTTGAGTTTGACATTGAGGTAGGAGCCTGTCCTGTGTGTGTCTAATCTTCTGTTCATTCTGGTTATGGAGGCAGAAGGCAGATTATCATTCTACTTGGGGGAAAAAGATATTCTGTGCATTCAGTGCCTAAGGTATTTATTACATGAAAGACTGTACTAAGTGTTGCTGAACATATAAATGGAATGTTATAATTTAGTTAAAATATTTTATAAATCATTAATACAGAGTAGAAGAAAAGGCAGTGTGATGAACAGAAAGAGTATCCAATTTGGAATATCTGATTGTAATCTTACACAAATTACTTAACTGAACCTTAGTTTCCTTATCTGTAAAATAGGACCGATAAGACCCACTTCACAAAGATGCTGTGGGAATTAAAATGAAAGAATGAGTATTTTGTTTAGTACTTAGTCTGTACTTGGTGCTCAGAAGATAATAGTTTGAGGAGTAAGACTGTGAACCCTGTATTGAGGCCTTACCTGACCAACCCTGGGCAGCTGAGGTGATATCCTCTTTCCCCAACAGGAGGACTATACAACAGATGAGGACATGGTAGAAGGGGTCGAAGGCAAGCTTGGGAATGGGAGTGGAGCCGGTGGAATTCTTGATCTACTCAAGGCCAGCAGGCAGGTGGGGGGACCTGACTACGCTGCCCTCACGTGAGTAACTGGCTTTCATCTCCCCTTTCCAAGGCAATCAAACAGCATACCCCCACCCCTCACCCAAAGGGCTGAGTCAGCCAATCAGCAGATATTTATCAAGCTGCTATTTATGTTTATTTATTTATTTAGCCTTGCCTGAGGGCATGTTTTTTTCATTGCTTTGAGAGAGAGAGAAACATTGTTGTGAGAGAAAAACATTGATTGGTTCCCTCTCTTAGGGTCCCCAACCGGGGATTGAACCCACAACCTAGACATGTGCCCTGACCTGGAATCGAACCTGCAACCTTTTGGTGAATGGGACGAGCTCCAACCAACTGAGCCACACCAGCCAGGACTCAAGCTATTATTTAAAGGGACAAAGAATTAGCCAGGGCACTTGGACGGAAAGAATAAAGTACACTTGAAATGTGTCCTAAAAAACTTAAGGTCTGGGAAAGAGACTGTATAGACATCAAGGGGAATCAGCTTTGTGTTCTCTGGAAGATGTAAGAGGGGCTGGAAGAGACAAGGGAGAACTGGGCCTTCTTTTTTAAAGGAAAGAATGCAGCATGGATAAATAGGGAGGGAGATGTGCCTTTCTTTTTGCCACCTTGCCTGCTGTCTCTGGAGAGACTTGAAGCAAGAAGGGCTGGCCTTTTCATGAAAACAGTGATACTATATGGATCCTTTAGTTTGATTTCTGTTTTTTTCACCTGGGGTGATTCTCTTCTTCCTTTCACTCTGACCCCTCAGCTGTTGTACCTTCTCCCTGACTATTCTGATGACTGGTTTCCACTGACACCCAGAGAAACTACCTCAGCATTTCTCCTTTGTCCCTTGCAGCGAGGCCCCTGCCTCTCCCAGCACTCAGGAGGCCATCCAGGGCATGCTGTGCATGGCCAACCTGCAGTCCTCATCGTCCTCCCCAGCTACCTCCAGCCTGCAGGCCTGGTGGAACAGGGGGCAGGACCAAAGCAGTACAAGCTCCAGCAGTGGGCTGGGCACAGTGACTAGCAGTCCTGCTTCCCAGCGCACCCCAGGAAAGCGGCCCGTCAAGCGGCCAGCATATTGGAAAGCCGAGAGCGAGGAGGAGGAGGAGAACGCCAGTCTGGATGAACAGGACAGCTTGGGAGCATGCTTCAAGGATGCAGAGTATAGTAAGGGCAGCTGAGCACTTGGGTCCAGGCCAGAAGGGCTCCCCCAGCCCCAGTCTTAATCCCAATCCCAATCCAGGACAACTGAACCATATTTTCTTAATTTATAAAGTGGGACTATGTCACAGGTTGAGGTAAGAATTGGAGATGATGCTTGTACAGAGCACCTGACATGTTGTCTTGCTCCTGGGTGGCTCTCAAAAATTGGTAGCTGTTATAATTAGCTATCCTTCACTTTTAGTCCAACTTGCACTATTGGTGACTTTTTCCCTTGCCTATTTTACTTCCGTCATCTGTATTATTTGTGTTCTATGTCATTCAGTTCATCCCTGGCAAAAGTATATAATAACCTTTCAGTCGACTTTTTACATTTAAGAGATGACTCCTTGTTTTAAGATAGGATTTATCGAGTACTTCAGTGTATAAAGTGCTTTTTTCTATAGTATAGCTGACTTAATGTAGGTTTTAATATTTTTAAAAAATTAATGCTATTTATCAAAATTAGAACAAGACAGAGAAAATTACCTGTTACTAATGCTCATCTGCCTCTGAGGAAGTTAACCTTTGCTATCAGTTTGATGTACACTTTTCATTTTCTTGTGTTTATACCCACATGTAGACATAAATAGATACAGGTGTAGTGTTAGTGTCTGTGGTTCTACAGTTTGCTTGGATATCTTTCAACATCAGTTCCTAGAGATGTACTTCATCAGTACATATTGAGATATACCTGCTGCGTAGTAGTCTTATAGCATAGCTGTACCATGATTCCTTTGTCCATTCCCTACTGATTAACATTTAGGTTGTTTCTAATTTCTTACTGTTACTAACAATGCTACAATGAAAGTTCTTGTAAATGACCCTTAGTGCCCATGTACCAGCTAACATTTCTCTGCTGGGTTGAACAGTATGTACAAAATAAATGTTAATAGTGCCAAATTCCCCTCTGAAACAGCCAGAATATGAGCAGTGTTATGAGAAATACCTGTTTCTCCACAGCCTTACCAGCAGTGGATATTATTAGCCTTTTACATTTTTGCCAAGCAGATGGCACAAAATGGTGTCTCAGTTTGTTTTATGTTTATTGGCTCTTCTTTACTTCTTTTCTGTGAATTATCTATTCAGTCTTTCACCCATTTTTCTACTAAGATGTTTGTTTTTCTTATTGGTCTGCAGGAGTTCCCTATTCTACATTTGTTGGAGTATTTTAATATATTTTGGAAATGTTGAAGTATTTTTGTCTCTTGCTTGTGTTTCATTTATGGTATCTTATGGTAGAAGATTTCAGTTTCTACATAGGCATCTTTGTCAATTTTTTTTGTAGTTTATGTCATATGTAAGAAGACTTTCTTATATTTTCACCTAAAATTTATATAGAACTTAAAATTTTAGCTCTTTTTCTGGAATCAAGTTTTGTGAATTGTGGGAGGTAAGAATCTAACCATTTTTTTCTATATGGGTAGTCATTTGCTCCAACACAATTTATTGACTAGTTCATCATTATTCCAGTGATTTGAAGTTCCCCTTTTGTCATAAACTGAATTCCTTTATATATCCAGATTTGTTTTTCTGCTCTGTATTCCCAGTTCTGTCACTTAATAGCTATGTGACCTTGTGCAAGCTAGTTAACTTCTCTATACTGACCTCATAGGTTGTGGGGTTAAAATTAATATATATAAAGCACTTAATGTCATTGCACAGCACATGGTAAATGTTATATAAATGTTAGATATTATTATTCTGTTCCATAAAATAATTTTGTCCATTTCTGTGGCAATGTCACATTGGTTTAGTAAAGCAAATCCCTTCTGCAGAACTCACTTTGGACCTAAGGAGAGCATAGATGCTTATCAAGGCCATCATCTCTGTGCTGAGCTGTGATTGGTCTTAGGGTCATGCCAAGTTCCTCAGCCACCCATTTTTCCTTCAGTAAATAGTCACATCGACCTACAGCCAAGACATCCAGATGTGGTCTGGTCCCCTCGGAACAAACAACTCAAACAGCCTTTGCTTCCCCATCACCCTCCCTTTTCCTGCTTCACCCAGCAAAACTAGAAAGGTAGTTTAACAAGTTCTACCTACTTGTTCTTATTTTTCCAGAATTTCTAGACCATTATTGAGCCTTTTCTATTCCAGATGGATCTTAGAGTTAGCTTGTCAAATTTATGAAAAACCCTATTAGGATTTTTTTAATAAGGATTGCATTACTATATGTAAATTAATTTATGGAAGCTGACATCTTTCATTAGAGGCCTTTTCTGCTAGAATGGGATGTGTGCATTCCTGAAAAACATCATATCCTGAAAATTTGTACCCTAAAATAGAGTTTACCCTAGTGTAAACCCTAAATAATAGAGTTTACAGTAAAAAGAGAGTTAGGGACATACCCCTCAAATTCTCTTTGGCTTTGAAGCCAAAACACTGACCCAGGTGGCAGCCCACCTTGCTGAGTTAGAGCCCTTTGGAATTTGTACCCAGCATCAGAGTCAGTGGATCTTTGTAGCCTTAAACCCTGAGCTCAGACTTCTTTCTTCCAGATGTAGGTTCTTGAGGGCATTTGCTTAAGGTAGATACCAGCTCCATCAAATTAAAGTCTGATCCAGGGCCTAGTCTTCAGCAATCTATTTTTAAAACACAGGGGAAGTATCTTTACAACTTCCTCATCTTCCCCTCATCATCTTCCTCTCCTAACAGAGCTTGATTCTGTAGAAAACAGAGCCACCATTTACTCTTCTCTAATGGGAGGCACTATTGCAAGATTTTTATCACTTCTCTGCAGGTCTTCACATAGGGTCTGGCAGAAGTAACGCCTGCTCGAGTGTGGTTAGTAGGGTAATAATATGGGTGAACTAATTTATAGTTTTAGTTTGAACATTTCACCTAAAATGTCATATAGTGTGCTCGAATGTGATATTGGTTTTTTTTTTAAGTTTTTATTTATTTATTTTTACAGAGGGGTAGAGGAGGAGAAAGAAAGGGAGAGAAACATCAGTGTGTGGTTGCCTCTCACACACCCCACACCAGGGACCTGGCCCGCAACCCAGGCATGTGCCCTGAGTGGGAATCGAACTGACGACCCTTTGGTTCACAGGCCGGACGGCACTCAATTCACTGAGCCACACCAGCCCGGGCGAGTGTGATATTGTTATGTTTGAGAATTATGGTACAAGCTTAAGATTTTGTAATAAAAAGGGATGTTATTTGTGATGGACCCTGTATATTGCTAAGGCTTTCTCTGTAATTGTGAGAAACTTCACTAGTGATTGACTATTTTAAAGTGTACAATTCAGCAGCATTTAGTGGATTCACAGTGTGGTGCAACCACTACCTCTTTCTATTTCCAAGGTATTTTCTTCATCCCATAAAAACACCTTGTATTCGTTAAGTGATTGTTCCCCATGTTCCTTCCCCTTATCCCCTGGTAACTACTAATCTGCTTTCTGTCTGTATGTATTTACCTATTATGGATATATCATATAAGAGTAATCATATAATATGTGACCTTTTGTGTCTGTCTTCTTTCACTTAGCATAATGTTTTCAAGATTCATCCAAGTTGTAGCATCAATCAGTATGTTGTTCCTTTTTATGGCTGAATAGTATTCCATTTTATGGATATGCCACAATTTGATTATCCATTTATCTGCTGGTGGGTGTTTGGGTTATTTTTACATTTTGGCTGTTGTGAATAATGCTGCTAAACACATTTGTGTGCATGTTTCTGTGTGGACATATGTTTTCATTTGGGGGGGAATATATCTAGGATAGAATTGCTGGGTCATATGGTAATTCTATGTTTTACTCTTTGAGAAACCACCAAACTGTTTTTCACAGTGACTGCAAGAGAATTGTCACCTTAGGTATACTGAGTCTTCTGATTTATGTACACAATATATTCCTTCATATTTAGTCTTTTAAAAATTTTTTTCATCAGTGTTTTATATAGAGCCTGCACATGTTTTGTTAGATTTATCCCTAAGTACTGTATTCTTTGGTGATACGGTAAATGGCACCTTTTTTAAACCTTTGGTTTCCAATTGTTTATTGCTAGTGTATGTGTGTGTGTGATTGATTGATTTCATATGATTTCCTTATATCTTGCAACCTTGATAAATTCACCTATTCTAGGTTTTTTGGTGTGTTCTTTTTTTGTATAGATGATCATGTCATGTGCAAGTAGGAACAATTTTACTCCTTTCTTTCCAGTCTGTATGTTTTTTTCCCTCTTTTTGCATTTTTGTTCTAGCTAACACTTCAATCACAATGTGGAGAGAAAGTGAACACCCTTTCCTTGTTTCCTAGTCTAAAAGGAAAGCATTCAGTCTTTTCACTATTATGATGTTAGCTATAGGTTATCAGGTTAAGGAAGTTTACGTCTTACTTTGCTGAGAGTATTTTTTATGAATGGGTATTGAATTTCACCCAATGTTTTTGTTTCATCAATGGGTATGATCATGTGGTTTTACTTTAGTCTATTGATATGGTAGGCTATGTGGGCTGATTTTCAAATATTAAACCAGTCTTGAAATCACAGGATGTACCTCACTTGATTGTGGTGTATTATTCTTTTTACATATTACTGGATTTGACTTACTAGGAGTACTTCACTAAGGATCTTTGTGTGTATGTGCATGAGGGATATTGGTCTGTAATTTTGTTTTCACATACCATCTATCTTTAATTTTGGTGTCAGCACAATGCTGGCCTCAAAGAATGAGTTGGGAAGTGTCCCCTCCTCTTCTGTTTTCTGGAAGAAAGTTTGTGTAGAATTAGTGTTTTTTTTTAAACATTTAGTAGGATTTGTGAGAGAAACCACCTGGACCTAGAGATTTCCTTTTCAGGTTTTACTATGGATTTATTTTCTTTAGTAGGTGTAGGATTATTCAAGTTATCTATTTCATCTTGGATGAATTTTGATTGTTTGCATTATTCAAGGAAATGGTCCATTTCAGCTAAATTGAAGAATTTATGGGCACATAGTTGTTTGTAGTGTTACTAGGTTAT